GCGCGCCCTCAGCGAGGGCCTGCTGCGGCAGAGCGCCCGCGAAAGGGACTTCGTGCTGAGCTGCGGCTCCCGGCGCCGCCCCAGCCTGGCCTGCCAGCAGCCACCGCCGCCAGCACAGCCACAGGCCTCCTTCTACTTCTGCCGGCTGCTGCTGGACGACTTGGGAATGAACTCCTGGGACAGAAGGTAGGGAGAGAGAGCATCCAGAACGTGCTTAGCGTGCCCTTCTCGGTTTCTAATCCCAAATGCGCTTAAGGAAGCGAGGATCGTGTAGCTGGGGTAAGAGCGGAGCTTTGAACCTCGGTGATTATTTGAAAGAGACGTCAGTAGATTGTGTAGAGCAGTAACTCTGGGAAATCATACTGGGTTAATTCTCTTAGCTTATTGGAAGATGAAATACTGTGTCTGCGCTGTGTTGCATTTGCCTTCAAACCCTTCTTTCTTTATTTTCAGGAAAAGCTTTCATCTGCTGAAGAAAAATTCAAAGTTACTGCGAGAACTGAAAAATCTGGATTCCCGCCAATGGTAGGTGATGTGTACTGAACACAGCATTGATAAGGTTTGTGTGTGTCCCAAGGAGTCACCAGAGCCAAAACTTTGTTCCTGTTAAATCCAAGTAGTGGTACGGCAATTGGACTGGTTGTTTCTGCAGAGTTCTGTGGCCTGAACGGAGAAGCCGCCTGTGCTGGCACATTCTCTGTGTACAGAGAGCTCCGAATCACTGGCAAATAATAAAACAGATTTTTCTCAATTTTGCTTTAGCTGAGAGGAGAGCAAATCAAATTGCTAGTGACCTGGGTTGAGCTGACAGGATTTCCTGCAGGGTGATCCCTACGTCAGGAGCAGTACTTTGCGGGGTGACCTACCCAGAACTGCTCCCCAGCCAGCAAGAGGTAGAACGGAGTTCTGAATGCTGCGTTTAATTTCTCATTGCTTGACACGGAGCTGCTTGAAAAACATCTGCAGCATTGCAGAGTTCTGAGTTCCTTCTGTCCCAACAATTTCCACATCCAGTGCGTTTTGTGTGCTTCCAGAGAAGCCAACTGTCCCTGTCAGCCTTGTAAAACTCTGCCCAGGGTCTCAAAGTCAGTGATGTTTCTTCTGCCTTGTATGTCATCACCCCGTAATTAAAATTCTGTAGGTCAAATTATGCTCCCATTAGCACCTGTGCCACCTTGCTGTCTGTGCAGTGCTGCACAGAGCAGAGTCATTAACCCTGTCATTGGAATTTGGGCACCAGTTGTGTGGCTGACGCACGGGAGGAGCGGGCTTGGCGCTGCTCTCGGAACCGGGGTGTCCCTGCAGTGAGGTTTTGGTGGCAGAACAGCGGGGAGGTCTAAAAGCGAGCGAGGTGTTTGGGCAGGGGGCTGTGACATACGGGGCTGGCTGTGGCACCTGGCCATAGGTTGGGAGTGCAGGGGGACCTGGAAGATAATTCTGAGCTGGTTTAACCTCGGTTTCCTTTTCCCTGCCGTGGCAGCCGTGAGACGCACAAGATCGCTGTGTTCTACATCGCCGAGGGACAGGAGGACAAGTGTTCCATCCTGGCCAACGCCAGGGGAAGCCAGGCCTACGAAGATTTTGTTGCTGGGCTGGGCTGGGAGGTAACAGCCATAATTTAGATAACTTCCCTTGTTGCACAGTTCTCTTGGCCCTGCACAGTTTTTAATTCACATGCACAGAACAAACCCTGCTGCACACCGATGCCTGCAGCTTTTAGCTCCCGAGTGTGAACACGCACTCACCCAGCACAGGCGCTCTTTGTGACATGCGTGGGTTTAATTTGCTTTGTCAAAACGCTGTGTCGTAATCTAAATTCCACGAGCACTTTGGTGTTTGGGAAATCCAGAGTAAATTCGTGTCCTGTTTAAGCATCCAAGTGCTGCAGGGGGATGCAGCATCCTCAGACTGGTGCTGTTGGGAAAGCAAATGAGCCTTTGGACTCAGCCTTGACTTCAGAGAGGTGTTTCCTCAGAATAAGCTTCTGGAATAATTTCTTTATGGTTTTTCTTTCTGTCCGAATCTTTGGTTTCTTGTGCAGTTTTTCTGGTTCTCTTTCTCTCTGCCAGTTGTGATGCTCCTGGCAGTGGGAGCTGTGAGCCCCACAGAGCCCTGAGTCACAAGGTGCTGTTGTTTCCTTGCTGCTGTTTGCGGGAGGAAGGTAAAACAGCTGGGCAGATAATGACTCAGGAGCGAGTTCAGAGAGATTTACTTGTAGTGAATGTCAGATACAGGTACGGGAAAGACAAATCTAACAGAAGGATTGCAGAGCTGGAGGGGAAGGCTGCTTTTTTCTCTGGGATGGATGGCTGTGGAAAGCTTGGGTGGTGATTTCATTAATCTGGTACAGAAGCAGGTGCTGGCAGCACATGAGTGTTTTCAGGTGGCTGCTGTTGGTGCCTTTGGCTCCCTCAGGTCGACCTGTCCACGCACTGCGGGTTCATGGGCGGCCTGCAGCGCAACGGCAGCACGGGGCAGACCGCGCCCTACTACGCCACCTCCACCGTGGAGATCATCTTCCACGTGTCCACCAGGATGCCCTCCGACTCGGACGACTCCCTGACCAAAAAGGTAAGGGCTCTGCAGGGTGTTGCAGGCAGTGCTCCCGTGGAGGTCGGAAGCGAAGGCGGCTTTTGCTGGCCGTCCCTGCGGCGCCACGTGGTGCTCTGCAGCTGGGTTAGCTGAATTAAATGGCATCTAAATTCTGGGTTCTGAAACACAATTAACATTTCCACGGTAGCCTCAAATGCCACCGTGAGTAATAATATTAGCAATAATTTCATTTGTACGTTGTCTGCCTGCCAAAACTGCTGCAGGTTGGTAGAACAAAGCAACCAAAGGCAGCGTGGTAAAACCTTGGGTAGGGCTCGTCCCGTGCGGAGCAGCAGAGAGAAAGGGGGCTGGAACCCAAGCAGCCAGCTCTGAGTTCAGGCCAGGAGCCAGCTGGGCACACAAGTCTGACAAGCAGCCTCTGCCTCAGACAGCCAGAGCCTAGCTCAGAGTTCTGCTGGTACCGCTGCTTAATTGTTCGCCTTTCCTAACGAGGAGCTATTTCGGATGATGCTGTTTGCCAGCTGCTGCTTAGACTCAGAGAAGGTTTTTGGGGCATACCAAATCTCTGCCTTTCCAATTGGGATTGGCAGCTTGTCCTGCAGAGGTTGTTAGCATGCATCAGTAATGCTGCAGCAGCCATGCAGTGCACCAAGGGGCTCTGCTCTGAGCGCTCTGTACCTCTGTCCCTCAGTGTTTGCTGTCCAGTTGGTTTCGGAGGGATGTGTGCTTTTCTTTCAAATATAAAGGTGGAATCTCTGATTACTGGTTCTGAAAAACTGCCCAGTGTTTCACACTGAAGTCTTTTTTTATCTTGTCTTTTTTTATTGTGATATCTGTCATTTAAAAAAAAGTCAGCAAAACGACGTGTTTCTCTTCCTGTGTGTAACTCTCTACCTTCATAGGCACAAGGCGATGGAAAGAAGTACTCTGAGTGCTTCAGAGGGGGACAGTGGTGTGTAGGACAGGGCTGTAGAGTCTCTGTGACCATACCAGGGTAGGACTGTCTGTATTTTTGCAGCTCCTGACCAGTATTTGTCCAGCTGCTAGACCAAAACTCCAGTGATGAATGATTTACAGTTTCCCTAGGCAGCATACTCCATATTCCTATGCTCCACTTCTTGTACCATGAAGAAAATCTCTGGTAGTGCCTACTTGGCTTCAATTTATGCCCATTGATTGATGTTTCACATGCATGCAAGGGGCAAGTTATTTTGCAGCACACTTATGCATGTCTGAGAACTGCTGCCATATCTTTCCCAGACTTCCTTTTCCTACACAAAGTGTGGCCATTTATTTAGTGTAACCTTCCCTTTTAAGCCCTGGGTTTTGTGGGAGCCTGGCAAAGACACTGGGGTAATTCTGGCTGTAGAGTAATTGATCACCTGGGAGGAGAGCACGGTGTGGCAGAGCTACCACAAGGGGAAAAAGGGGGTTTAGCTGCAAACAGTCCACTTATTCTCCTAATTCTCATGTATGTTAGGGGTTATCACAGACCCTGAGGGTCTAGTTACTGCGTTTGCTCCAAGAGAATTCTCTGTGAGAAACAGAAACCAAAAGCATTTAGTAGCTGTCAGTCTCCAAGTTTTGTAGTGCCAGGAAGCCAGGCCAGCTCCAGCATATGCTGTCTACAGAAAATAACTGCAAAGGAATTGCTCTAGGACCTTCTCAAAAAACCTGAGATCTGCTCTAGGAATGGCACCCTGCAGGGATCAGACGGGGAATTCTGGTGAAGGACAAATGTCTGAGCAAGCTCGTGGACCTGAGGAGCTGCAAGCAGTGGCTCCAGGTGACTTCCAGAGGACTTCTCAGTGTGCGCTCGTCCATGGTTCCACACACAACAGTTTCATTCCGTTTGTCACAGCTCTGTTGGGAGCAAACATGCAGTTCTGTGCAGATCAGCACAGATTGTTGACAGATTTTACAGAACTGCAGCTGTGAGTGCAGAAAAGGTGCATTTCAGAAGCACTGCACTTTCTGGAAGGTGGGCAACTCTCTGGGCTTAGGTCCTTGCCTCACATTGTTGGGGCAGAATGTCCGGGTTAGAAGGATTATTTGATATTTATTACTTCTTGCCATCAATGCTTTTGTTCGTGGGAGTGTTGTGGGAGAGAAAGATGGAAGCCCTTGACATTCATTCTGCTCCTGCAGGAGAGTGGTGCTGCGAGGAGAAAACTTCATCAGGATGCAGTGGGCGCCACAGCTCCTTTTTTCCTGACCTCCCTCTGGGGGTCTGAGGTCCCACTAATCTCTGAAATCTTTGTGATTGCTGGGTTTTTTTCTCTGCTTATTTTGCCTCTGACCAAGAGAGGCTTCATCCCTGTCAGCATGCTCCCAGCTGAGCAGGACCTGCTGACCTGGGGGGGCCAGAGCAAGGCCAGAAATTCTGGGGGCTGGGGAATTCAGCAGATGCAGTAATTTTACTTCAATATGTTATTATGGTTCTTTATTTTTACTGAGCACAAGGATAAATTAAGTTCTGGTATGAATTCCCCAGAATAAGTGTGTTTCCACTGGGGATGAACTTGGCCCCTTTGTGCTGTAGAGCTGTCATTTACAGTCTACATTTATTAATTTGAGGTATTGAGGCTGACATTATGTTGCTAATTCAGGTGGGAAGAAAGAGGGAAAAAAAGAAAGAAAGAAAGAAAAACCCCTCTCCAAATAAGTCTTGTCCCTGACAGAAATCTTTTCTAGTGAAGTAAACAAAATTCAGCTCATCTCTTTTGCTGCTGTAGGGTTCAGCATCACTGGTTCCAAACTTTATCTGCCTGTCTTGTGGCAAGAGTGAAAATCAATCCCAGGAATGGCATCCTACCGTCCCTGTCTCGTTCTGCTCAAATTGTGCTTAACGGTTTAAAGATGTGCTGTCGAATTTCTCAGTGATTTATTCCATCCTCTCCATTGTCAGAGCAGAACTTTTTCAATTCAGAAATCTGGTAGCAACCCCATACTGAACTCTTGCTCCTTTGCTGCAGAAATTTGTTAGCTGGGGCTAGATTAGATTTTTAGCAGCTAATCTGACTGCTGTAGGGGTTTGCAGAGTGGGGACAGAGCTGTGCTATTGGATTTGTCCAATTCATTTGACTCCAGGACTATAATTGCACTTATGTCTTACAAGGCTTTTATGGCCTCAGGCTGGCGAGCAGCAGAAAAACAAATTGGCAGTGATACAGTGAGAGTGAAAGGGAATGAAAGGCACACATTATCAGTCTCCAGGCAGCCCTGCTCTGGCAGGAAGTTTCTCGGTTAATTTACAAATAAAACTTAGATTTTAGGATGGGCGCACAGTCAGCCAGACAATGGGGATGTCAGGCCCCACTGTTACTTAGCAAAAGTAGCAGCCATGGCTCCCCAAAAGCAGGAATTCTTCAGTCAAACAGACGACTCCTCTCTGGAGCCAGCTGGCTGTGTAATGCAATTAGCAGGGAAAGGAGGTCATGCCGGAGGTGTGCACCGTGACCAGCGCTGCCTGCCGGCCCGGGGATGTGGGGCTGGGGCTCTGGGGATGGGGATGTGGGGCTGGGACTCTGGGGATGGAGCTCTGGGGATGGGGCTGGAGCTCTGGGGCTGGAGCTCTGGGGATGGGGCTGGATCTGAGGCTGGAGCTCTGGGGATGGGGCTGGGGCTCTGGAGCAGCACAGTGGGGCTGGCTCAGGCCTGGGGCAGTGTCCCAGCCCCGTTAGCCAAGCTCCCGTGGGGCGGGGAGGACACGCTGCAGTGCACGGCTGCCTTCCCTCGCAGCGTGCGCAGAGCCATCAGCCCAGACCGCTGTCGGGGCTTGCTCTCAAAACCAATCTGATTTCCTGGCTGCTGTGGCTTTTTTTAATGTAGCTTTTTTCTTTATTCCCCCCACCCCTAAACTGGGAGGAGAGCACAGCCTGGAGCTCTGGCTCCGCACGCCTCGTCCGTGGGGCTTTGGACATTTCAGCACAACTTGCTGAAGTCCTTTGGGGCACTGAGTCTGCCCCACAGCTGCTGTTCTGAATAAAAAACACAGGGAAATAGCAGCTGGCTTATTGTCACTGATGAGATTATCCTAACGGCCTCTTATCAATGGAGTTATCTCTCAATAACAAATATTTTTGATTAATGCCAATTTTTCCTTTGTAACGTTGTGCCTCCTAAGTGTGCTGCTTAAGGATGTGTGGCTTCAAAACAAGGGCAGTGACTCAAGCTCTGAAACAAGTCTGGCACACGCTGGGGATTGTGGCAGGCTCGTGAGCACAGCAAGTGTTGGTTCAACTGAGTGCCCTTCTTCACTGAATGTTGTTCTGAAGGGTGCAAGATCAATACAGAGCGTTCAATTATCATCAGAACAGTTCCTTGGGATTTTAACAAGGGTCCCTGGAGCAGTATTTGGGCATATTTTGATGAGTGTTTCTGTAGCAGCATGTGCTGTTTCTCACCCCAGAAGCCACAGGAGGCATGGCAGCACAGAGCCTTTCCTTGGGGAGCTGGGCTGGGTTTGTGAATGGCCCTCTGCCTCGTGGAATTCCGTGTCCATGATGATTTCTTGGGCTTCCTGCAGCAGAGGCTGCCAGGTGCCACCACCCTGGGCTCTCTGAGCTGGGGAGCCAGTGCTGGCACTCATGGGCACTTCCCAATGCCTGGTGGGGCTTCCTGGAGCTGGGCTGGGCTGGGACAGCCTGGCCAGGCACCCCCAGCATCCGGGACCTGCTGGGCACAAAGCCTGCTCCTCACCAGATGGGCTTCAGGCTGTGTAAAACTAAACTTGACATCTTGCTTCTGATGGCTTTGGAGGTGGCCTGGCTGCACCTGGTCACGGAGAGCGAGGTCAGGGTTTTGTCCTGTGTGTAAATTCCTGCTGCCTTTGGTGCCTGTCAGTTCATGGCATTCCCAAGGTGAGTGTTTTCCTTTGTGCTGCTTGGTTTTTACTGAGCTTCTGCACAGATATCGAGGTGGCCACAAGAACAGCAATTTCTACTTGCTTTGTACATATAAGAAGCTCTGCTAATAGTATTGTTAGTGTTCCTGTGTTTTTCCAAGACAAAAATGGTTCATGTTTCCTTCAAACAGAGCTAAAATTACCTTTTATTCATGGGTGTTAATAAATCACAATTGTTATCTTCTGTTTTGTTTAAAATAAACTGAGAATCTCAGTCCTTCTGAGATCTGAGCTTTACTTCACTCTGCTGGAACATGAGCTGTAAGCCAAGTTCACAGCTATAACTTTTTTATTTTCCACAAGGTGTTGGTTTTGCCACATTTCTCGTGACTGAGGGGTCCAGTTTGCCACCAATATGTAGGAGTGAAAGTTTTTCCTGGTTCTGAATAGGGAAGATTCATCAGCACAGTGTGGGCTGATCCAAAGCGCATTGGGGTTAGTTGTTATTTACCAGTGAAAATCACCACCTTCTCCTCCCTTTTTTCTCTCCCCCCACACAGAGTGAAGTAGCAGAGCTTCATTTTGGCTTCTTTGTTCCGTCTATTGTGCACATTGTTCCAGGGGTAGCACCAAATTGGAGGGTGGGGGGTGTCTTTTAAGCTTTAAGTGGGACTTAAATTCTCTTTATGCTCGGAGCTGGCATTCTGCGTGTGGATTACATTTTAACTTTAAAGCTTACAGTTGAAACCATTGTGTGAGGCTTGTACGTGATTGCCAAATAGTTTTTGCCATCTGTTAGATCACCTCCAGCTCCTCCAGCAGCAGAGCAAACACACACACACACACACAGGCTCTCGGATGCTTTCTGTGTGCTCATGTTTAAATTTTATCCGTATTTCATGCAGCTCTGCTCCAAAGGGGAAGGTGTAACTCCCACAGTATCTCCCATTCTAATGTACTTCACACTGCCCAGATATTTTGCTGACGTTTCAGGCAGGAGCCCCCTCCAGACACAGTCAGAGAGGAAATGTTTGTGGATAATAAATTCAGTTATAGTGGCTCATGACAGGCAGTTTCTGAGTCAAGGCATTTCATATTTCTGTGACAGCTGCCTTATTTTAGCTGGAATACGATGCTCCGTTGGTTAATGCTTTGTTGCAGTAATTCAGTTTTCCATCTTAAATCACTGTAGGTAATGTACATTTACATATCGTGCTAATGGCTAGTTTGATAATGACTTAATTAAGCCATCAGACAACAATGAGTTCTAAATGAAGCAAATTATTGAGCTGATGCTTTCATGAGCAACTGGAGAAAAACAATATTTTAACTTTTCTGTAATGAAATATTGCTGCTATCGAGCATTGTAATTCAATTTGCGAGCCGTGACCCCTCGCGCGGCGCGGTTATCGCCGGGATTAATAAAGAGCCAATTTGCCCTTGCAGCTCCGCCACTTGGGAAACGACGAGGTTCACATCGTGTGGTCCGAGCACACCCGCAACTACCGCAGGGGCATCATCCCCACCGACTTCGGGGACGTGCTCATCGTCATCTACCCCATGAAGAACCACATGTTCTTCATCGAGATCATGAAGAAACCCGAGGTGGGTCCTGCTGCTGTCTGGTGCTGCGCGGGGAGCGGCGGCTCTGGCGCTCTAAGCGAGGCACAGCAGTTCAGTTTGAGCGTTGTTTTTTCCCCAGGGAGAACGAAATCAGTCTGTCCATCTCGGCTGGAAAATGAGCTGAGCCGTGAGTTAACTCTAAATCTGGAGTTACTGGTGGTGATCAGAGTGGCTGCTCATTCATTTGTGGCCATCCTTGGCGCTGAGAGGAACACCTGAGAATTCTCAGCCCGCAGAAGTTACGGGGCAAAGAGCAGCATTTGACCCCTTGTGAATGTCCTCTGAGGCAGTGCGAGCAGAGCACTCGTGATCTGAGTTCCTCTGGTGGTGTGGGGTCACTGCTGTGCTCATGGCACCCAGCAGAGCCCCACACGTCCCTGGGACTGCCACCATCACCTGACTGCTGGGATGATGCAGGCATTGCCCATCCTGTCATCAAACAAACCATGGGAGATTCACACTCGAGACGTTTTTTGGAAAAAACCACATTTTTTTGCAAAACGTCAGAGGTGTGTGTATGTACATCTGTGCTTGTGTGCGAAAAAGCCGCTTCAGTAAATGCTTGTCTGGTACATTATGGATGCAAAAATATGCATAAAATATACTTTGTGAGAGTAATCAGTGTGATAAATACCTTTTGCCTTATGTGAGGGACACTGTTTGTCCGAAGGAGTAGCCAGCTGTGGAAAATGCCTCCATCACATCCCATATTGACCAGCTGTGGACACTTTGAGTTGTGAATGATGGAGCTGTTGGATATTGACACCCAGTGCTTTGTCAGTTGACGTTTCAAACTTGAAAATTTTCTAATAGTGAGTTGCTGGGGTTTTGTTTTTTTTTGGGCTTGGTGTTGAGCTGTGCGGTTTAGCGTTCGCACATTTTAGCTTTTAATGTTCCATCAGGGAAATGAGAATTTAGCGCTAGGAACACGCTTGAGACTTCTCTGGAGCGATGGAGAAAAGCTGTGTCATCTTACATATTAGTCAAAACCCCCCAACGGGCAGCCAGAAGAAGAGCTAACTGGAAATTTAGTGTTATCCCTACATTTAAAGTACAAACCATTACAATGTAATAAAATTAATCCAGACATTTCCAGGGCAAGTGTGGCTGACCTTTTGTTCACCAGCTACTGACCCCAGGGTGAATGAACGAGCCTTGCAGAGAGAAATGTCTGTTGTTTGGCTTCAGTCCCTGGCATTTAAATTGCATTCCCTAATCGAATGAAAAGGCTGTCCTCTCTATCAGGTTACAGAATCCATGGCAACATTTGGCCTTTTATATCCATAATGTTAGCCTTTTTGTTTGCAGCCAAGTAGAGACACCTGGAGCAATGTTAACATTAACCGCTTTAGCATTAATAGCTTCATTATAGAAGAATTTCTGATCAGATAGCTGTTACTTTTGTTATGTTGCTTCAGCTTGTATTGTTTTCATTTTTGATCTCCCTGCTTGGCAACCGGGCAATGATTTGCAAATTTTTTTTGTCTTGATTAATTAAGCAATATAATTATCAGGAACCGTGCTGCAGTCTTTGCCCGACAAAGCTTGGGAGGGAAGACAATAGTAAGTCTGTTAGTGTGAATGCATTCCACGCGTCACAGATGCACGAGGATATTGGGAACAATGAGAGGAAAAGCTGCCTGCGAGAGGGGACAAAGCATGCCAGGCAGGCTCCGCACTGCACATACCGCCAGGGACATGCTGCGGCTTCCCTGGGACACAGATGCCTCGTTAGATTGCAGCTCGTCATCAGAGATTAATTCTCAGCCATTTGGTACAATAATTTACCCATTCCCCACTCTTTTAACTAGCGCTGCTCGCTGTAGAGGGGCAGTCTTTGTGCTCGCAAGGTTTATTTAACCTTGCCTACTTTTACTGCGAGCAACAGAAATAATGATTTTGCTGTCGGAAATTGGAACCAAGCAGGTGTTTGCAGTGGGCCGAATATTAATTTTTGCTTCACGGATAACTTGCAGTGACATTTGGAGTGCTCACAGAAGGGGATCTTTCCCTCTGTGGTTTTTTTTAATTGATTCCTGTCAGAGCAGGCTGTTTGTTTGTGGTGGCTGCCGAAGCCCTGCTCTCCCGGGCTGGGTGATGGGAGCCGGGTGCGGAGCTCCCCCGGGCCTGGCTGGGGCAGAGTCCCCGTGGGAATGAGTGAAGCTGGCTGGATGGGGCTCCCCTGGCTGGATGGGGCTCCGGGGAACAAGCCATTCCCAGCTCTGTGCTCGGATGGCTCCGCAGCCCCCGCTGCTGCTGCTGCTCTCCCTGGCTGGGACATACGTGGGTTAAATCTGTAAATCCTCTGGTGACACAGCCTGCCCTGCTCCCCAGCTCCTGCCGGCTGTGAAACCCTGACTGCAAGTGCTGTAAGCAAAACCCACTTGTCCAAAAAGGCCGGCAGGGAATTTCCCTGCCCCAGCAGCATCTGCTGATCTGACTTTACGATTCTGGTATTTGTGTGGTGTCCTCACTTTAGAACACATTTAGCCTCCTCATCTGTACTTTTACATCGTTTTCTCTTGCCATCAATGCTTCTAGACAGTGCATGGGGTGAAAATTTCACTTAAAAACGTTACTGCCTAAAGAGGCAAAGACTTGATGCTCCATAACATCATTTTGGTGGCATAGATTTTCCTCTGTCCCCTTCCCTTCCAACTTCCCTTCCTGGACAGTAATGCCAGCAGTAAATAAACAAACTGAAAAGAAGGCAAAACCGCTATGGAAACATATTACACTTTTCTGGGTTTTTTTGGGGGGTGGGTAATTATTTTAAGTAAAGGAATGACAGAATAAGTGTGTGCAGAGACAGCTGTCATTTGCAGATGTTACATTAAACCCAAATTTCTTCTGTAATTCATTGCCACTTCTAATTAGAGGAATTCCCTAGATGCAGGGGATTTATATTATTCCCTTTGTCCATTTATTGAATGACTGTCACAGTCACCCACAAGCAGTTGGAGAAGAATAATAGAGGGTATTTATTTATGTGATAAGCCTCTGTACAGATGGAAAAAATCCATAGCTTAAATATTAATAATTGCTGCTGGCTTCTGTCTAGGGCTTCAGTTGGGGGGTTGGTTTCTTCGTTTTGAGTCTGTGAGAGGGAAATGAATTTGAGTACTTTGTAAGTACTGAAAGTTATGTATTTAAACATCAATGTTTTCTGGGTCAGCAGTTCTGGACATGGTTTACTTTTAGGAAGTGTCTCTTGTACCTAGTGCAGTCTTTACCTGCAGAGCCTTAGGTCACCAGAGGATGTCACACAGGGGTTTCCTGTGGAGGTGGCCCTGAAGGAGCAGCATTTGGGCACCTTGACCTGCTGGGCTGTGCCCTTTGTGCCTGTCCCAGCCCTGCTCTCTGCCATCCCCTTTGCCTCCTTATCCTGGACCAGCTCAAGGCTTCTTTCTCTCCTGTGAAGTCCACGGAAGGAGTTTATAGAGGGTTATCTGAAGGAAATACATCTTTGCAAAACCTCCTGCCAGTGTTGGAGTCAGGCAGTGAATCAGGGTCTCCCGTTGGGATCCCAGATGGGAAGCAGCTCTTAATATCCCCTGCCAAAGGCATATTGATTGCAGATTGGTAGATGGCCTCAGTTTTTAAGTGTACCAAGCTCGTGCTTAGCCAGCAGAATGTTCTGAGACGCGTGTGTGTCCGTGTAGCGTGCTGAGGGCACTCATGGGCGCTTTAAACGCTCACCAGCGCGGGGGATGAATGTCTCAGTGTGGGAAACAATGTGGTCACGCTCTTTGGTGGCAAAATGCTGTAGCAGTCTCCTGCCGTGGTTCTGAAGCCTGCTTTTCTGTTTTGGGGTGCCCAGGTGCCGTTTTTCGGTCCCCTCTTCGACGGCGCCATCGTGACCGCGAAGCTGCTGCCCAGCCTGGTCTGTGCCACGTGCATCAACGCCAGCAGAGCCGTCAAGTCCCTCATCCCCCTCTACCAGAGCTTGTATCCTTTCTCCACGGGGCAAGGCCCCCCTTGGTAGGGCCCTCACTTGGAGCATCGTCCTGCAGAGAGGTAGGCTGGCATGGAAACCCTTCCTGTTCGATTTCACTGGCAAAGCTCGGGGCTTTCTTCGTGTCCAGCTCAGTGGTTTTGGTGGTTTGCACCCAGCCGCCGTCCGGGGTGTTCCAAATGGAATGGAAATGTCCCAGGAATCTCCCTCCAGCAGCTTCCATCTCACTGCTGCTGGGCTGGGGCTCAGCACAGCTGCTTTGGTCTGTGAGAGGTGGTATCTCCTGCCAGTGTGAAAGCAAGCTGCAAGTTGTGGACTGTGCCTGTCAGGCTGGCAGCCAGAGCTCAGCCATGCTCTTATCCTATCCAATTAACCTCACTCGGACTCATTACATTAATAAGACAGATGGGATTTGTCCTCAGATGCAGATGTTGCAGGTCCCAAATTCCAGTCTCGCTCCAGCCATGCCTGTGTTTGGGCATTTTGAGAAGCTGTTTTCCAGCAGTGTCTGGAAGGTGGCTGGAGGATGTGCTTCTCTGGGACAGGAGTTGTGACACCGTGCTGGGGTCTTCTGATGATGCCATGGTGCATTCCATAGCTTCTGCTGCTAACCTCATCACCTGCCTCAGGACAAACACCCACTACACTTTGCTTTCTCTGGGGAGTGTTGGATTTCAGTGTTTTTCTGATCGTGTGACTTTGAGGAAGAGGCTGTGACATGTTTTGATCTTTGAAAGAACACTGAGGAATTAGTTTGAGATGCACATTTTTAAAACAGGATATCCTCGAAGTACTCGTTAGGAGTTCTTTAAAGGCTAAATTTTATCCAGTGTACTTTGCAAAAGTCCTCAAAAATTAAAACTAGTATTGAGGTTAAATAGATTTGTGTTAATAACTAATTGTTTACTCATTGTAATGGTAGTGGTTGTGCAAACTGTGGTAATGCCTGACAGGTGAGTCAAGGCTTGTTATGTTTTCTTCTGTTTCTTGAGAGGAATCTAACAAATTCCTGAAACAGAATTCAGCTTGGTCTGTTTCTCAGTGTTGAATACTGAAGTAACAGTGCAGTGAAATGGCCTGAGCAGCAGCAGTTGGAAGAAGGGAGCTGTCACAGCCCCTCGCTCCTCCCGTGTTTTGGCCTTGAGCATTTTGTGTGTGAGCAGCACTCCCCAGCTGGCCGTGCTCCTGCTGTCCCAGGGGTGTCCCTGAGAGTGTCCCAGGGGTGTCCCTGAGAGTGTCCCTGAGGGTCCCAGGGGTGTCCCTGAGGGTCCCAGGGGTGTCCCTGAGGGTCCCAGGGTGCAGAGCTGCACAGACACCGCACCACAGGGCTCTGCTCCGTGCAGCTCAGAGCTCATCTGGCCCCGCATTCTCGTCCGCCTTTTTCTGCGTCTGCTTTTGCACTGGTGCTGTCCGTAGTGAATCCACTGCCACTTGTCTGTCTGATAAATGAAAGTGGGAAACTCCTGAGGTGGGACAAAGGGGATGTGGTGGGCAGATCCCATCGGGGCGATGCTGGAGCGGCGCAGAAAGCGATCTGTAATTCATTCATGGACAATGCAGACTGTGGCACACTGAAGCCAGCAGTTGCAGTGAGAGTGTGTGGATGTGTAAAGGTGATGCTTGGGCCTGTCCAGGGCAGATCCCAGGGTCTGTGACACTCACCCTGTCACGGGGTGAGTGCCTCGGGTCCGGGGTTTGCTGTGCCAGCTGCTGCGAGCAGACCCAGCAGTGCAAGTGAAGTAAATGAAAGTGTCTTGATCGGACCAGAGGTGGAAATAACTCAAAAAATGTCAGTGGGAGGGAGAAATAGAAGGCAGTGTTCCTGGCAAAGGAAGGGATGATGTTTGGTGCACACCAGTCTTAACTGTGGTTGGGATGAGAGCTTCTCTTTGACACATGGGTCATGTTAAAGGTACTTATCATCCCTAAGGGGGTCGGTAGCTGAAGATGTTTGGATCAAACACTCCCTCTGGTGCCAGTGGTTCCGTGGGGAGCAGTGCTGGAGTACTGTCAGGCTGTGAAGGACCTGCAGGGACTCGCCTTGCTCTGCCCTGCGTGCTGCTGGGGAGCCGGGCAGCGTCCTGCCAGCAGTGACAGCTGAAGTCACTTGTTGGAAAGTCTGTAAACTCCGGCTACAGCTGCACTTGTCAGGGGCTGTAAGGGAAGTGTAATCAGCCACAGAGATTAATTTGCATCTCAATTAGGAAAGAGTCAGGAGGAAGCTGTAGGGTCTGTTGCTGGAAGGTTGTGGAAGAAATCTCATCAGGCACAAAAGGCTCCCGACTTGGTGCTCCAGCGAGCGGAGGACAATATCCGAGTCCGGTTTCCATGGGGACCGGGAGCGCAGAGCCGCGGGAGCATCGCGCTGCCCGCAGCCGCCTGCTCCTGATGACACAAATTCCACTGCCCTGCCCAAATACAGCCTTCTGGCGGAAATCTCCTCGAAAATCTAGAAGGTAACTGCGGCACACCACATCAGACTTCTTAAATCTCTTTTTTTACGTTTCCACAACACTTTTGGTTTTAAGGAATTCACTAGGGCGAGAGTTTTAATTAAAAAACAATTAACTATTTTTAAACTTCAGTTTAGAGCCGTTCTGGCTACAGGTTCTTTGTGTCCATGGAAGGGCACGTGGTGGCAGTCTGCAGGAGCCAGCCCAGGGTGGTGCAAGCGCAGCACAGCTGTCTCTGGAACAGCACAGCTGTCTCTGCCGCAGTGCTTCCATGGGCGGTGATGATTGTGCATCAGTTTGTTCCAAATTCCCCTTTTATTCCTCCTTGGTGCCACGGGGCACTGAGGCTGAGCGGCTGCAGCCCTGCTGACTGGGACTCCTGCCATCCTTGAGTAACTGCTGAGCATGAGGCAATGTGCCCCAGCAGCCAGCAGGCTGCTCTTACAGGCACTATCTGACCTTAAATGTGACTGGGACTTACAGAAACCATAACTAATAAAGGTGACCTAAATTTTACAGGAACATAAAATAATATTTCAGCTTCCTACAGCTGTTGTATTGAAAGGAATATATTTATGCAGGTATTGAGCACATCCAAGCCTCCTTTGCATGTGCTGGGGAAAGGAAGGAACAACCTCTCTTGCAAATGAATTATTACATGTCATAACTAAGCACGGGTCTGTTCTGGTTCCAGCAATGCTGATTTTTACAAAACCTGTTGGGAGTGGGGCTGTAAAAGTGCATCTCTGCACGCTCTTCTGGCTTGTGCACAACAAGCTGTGTGCTGGGAAGGATTTCTGAACACTTGTGTGATCTGGAGTGCCACTGCAGCAGAGCTCCTCTCTGGGAGCTGCTCTTGTCCGAGGATGGGGGAAACCAGGGTTTGGATAGAAGTATTACAGGTCTGATTGATTGGCAGCTGCTCTCTAAGCTGACAGTTTCTAAGCTCAGGTGCTAGTCAACCTTCAGACTTCATGAAAATGTAGCTAGTTTGGCAGGTGTCAGGCACTTTAGTTGGCTTGTAATTCAATCCCAGTCTCCAAAAAGACTTGGGGATTTGGGGATGTCGGAGCAAGAAGCTCCTCTTAGATTCCCTAGAGAAATGCAGTTCTCACTGCCCAGGTTATCTTTCCAAATGGAGCTGTTTCTTTTTTCCTTGGATTGAATTGGCTTAATTTGAAATTTGTTTCAATGTTATTTCTAGTATTTTACCACTTTGGGTTTTTTTTTCCTCCACCATTGAAAATAACTCTCATCCTCTCTGTCCTTCCTGACTGGGATGCTAACTGAATTTAGAGAAAAGTACAAAAGATCCCAATGTGTCTGAAATGTTACCTCAGCTTTGAGGAGCTCTTTGTAATCTGCCTTGCAGAGGGTGGAACCTGTCCCATGTGCCAGCACCAGTGGAGTTCTTCCCTGTGTTTTTCAGTGATTTCTGGTAGTCTTTAAATTATGTTCTTAGCAATTCAAGCTACTACATGTGCTTCCTGTGAATGAGTAAGTGGGGAGCTAGTTCTCGCTGGGGTTTATTAACACACTGACTGTAGAATGATCTCTGTGCACAATCTCACTTTTGGGATGAGTTGGTTTGCTCTTACGGGCAGCAGAGGGGTCTGATCTGGCTGTGCCTGTCACCTCCTGCCCTGGTTTGCTGTGACATGGGGCGCTGGGGCTGTCTGTCCGTCGGAACATGCACAAAGGAGCACGGCAGGGATGAGAATTCCGTACGTAATATCTGAGCACTGGATGTCACCGTTTCCCAGCTCACAGTTGGCTCTCCTTTTTGTGGGACTGAGGAAAACACAGCCCTTACGCTGGAGAAGTAATTTGATACATGAGTAACTCTCTCACTCTTTTCTCCCCTGTACTGGCAGTGCTGTGCCTGCTGACCTGTGCCAGCCAGCAGCTCGGCAGGGTAAAGCCAAAACTCCATCTAAACACATAACAAAAAAGACATCCATAACTTTAATTCATTACATCTCATCCGGATATTGACACACTAATATATCCTAGATGTGTTAATATCTGGAACCAAGAAGATTAAGCAAAGAACATCAGCTTCAAATTCTGAATTAAATCCCTTTCTTGGCTTAAGCCAATTTCTGATTAACCTAATAGAGAGTGCCTGATCTGCTTACCTGCTTTATCTGTGAAAGAAAGGTATTTGCTACGATGGACTTAATTGTGTGAATGGCTGTCAGATGCTCCGGAGGCTCATGTGGTGTGGGACGTGTTTTGTGTCCCTCTCAATGTGTGTTCTGTGGCACTGGCATTTGGAGCTCTGCTGTGGGTACGAGGCACTGTTTGATCCTGCCGGGAAAATGATATGGAAAGTCTGTTACTCCTTTCAGAGAGGGTTCACAGTTTGTCCCCTTTATTTCATCCCCAGAATTGGTGCCCTCCAGCTATATGGGTGCTGATAGAAACGGCTGTGAAATTCTAAAGCACGTGTGAGCTGTGACAGTTTCTGTGACACGGCACCTGACGGTGTTCTGCCAGGCAGCCGGCCCTGGCTGGCACGAGTTCCTGTCCGTGGCCAGCGGCCGTGGGGAGCAGCAGGTCCTGCTGGCCACCCTCGGCCAGGGGCGGCCGGAGCCGGGGGGGCCGGGGCTCTGCCCTTCATCCCGCGCGGCCCCGATCGATGGCCGGGCTGTCTGTCTCCTGTGCCTTCCCTGCTCGCAGCCAGAACCTTCTCCAGGCAGCGATCGATGCTCTAATCTGCTGCAGCCTGTAATAAGTCATGCGAGGCAAAGCTTTTAGGTGGCATTACACGGGATTGTGGAGGCGGCTCCTCAGCTCCCATTCATAGAGCTCTTCATGGACTCGCGGAGAATCCACTGCGTCCCGCCGGTGCATATCTAAAGAGTATAAAATGCTTCTGCAGGTCTCAGCTCCGCATGCTGCCGCGCTCTGCGGACACAATGGGATGGCCTTTCCCTGTCTTCTGTTTCGTGTCCATCCCCGAGCCTGCTGCAGGCCCTCGTTACACACACAGCTTGTGGAGCAGCCAGGGAGGCTGCAGGGCAGCACTGCAGTTCATTTTGGCACTGTGACACCACCGTCCTCCCCGTGGCTGGGAGCAGCCAGGGAGGCTGCAGGGCAGCACTGCAGTTCATTGTGGCACTGTGACACCACCGTCCTCCCCGTGGCTGGGAGCAGCCAGGCTCGCTGAGGGTTGTTGAGACAGTCCCAGGCTGACTCTGACACACAGTTTTAAACTGCTGATCTCTGGGCTGCCTCTGCGCTCTTTGGTAGCACGAAATCAATCCCAGCAGTAGTAGAGGCTCCTTTCTCTGCTGCCTGATGTAATGGAGGGTTCCAAAAACAAACCTGGAGCTGAGTGACATTGAGAATATAACATGTTTTTTAAGTGAAAAGTGAGTTCACTGTTTGACATGTGTCAGGAAAAAAAATCCCAAAAAACCCCTCAGTCTTGGATCTCTAAATGACATGTCTACTAGTGTGTGTGTACTGCAAGCAAGGGTCCTAAAACACCCAGCCACGCCTCTTCAAGCTCTGCCAGAGATGGGGAAGTTCTGATCTTGCTGGAAATAGTGTGGTTTGTGTGGTGTAATGGTGCCCTGCCAAGGCACTGCCCAGGACGAGGGGTGCCTCGCTGGCAGGGGCACACGGTGCCGTCCAGGGCTTTGTTTATGAGCAGCAAACATCCCTTTCCTGGGAAGGAAGGTGTACACAGAGGTGCAAACACCTGTCTGTCCTGCGGTGCTTAATGTTTTCTCCTGGATTACACAAAGAGAAACGTGTGTTTCATGAGAGGCACTCGCTCATTCTTTGGTTCTTTGACAGAAGCAAAATCAGTATATTTGGGTTACTAATGAGTACTTCATCCCATCTTGTGGTGGTTCTTGCAGGTTTGCAAGGGGTTCTCGTTCCACAGCTTTTCAAAGTAATTTTGGATGATTTTGCTGTTTCTCCCCATTAACTTTGAAGGGATGTGCATAGCTAAAGCTCCCTTGCATCTTTGGGAAACTTTGCTGTGAATTTCCACTCGCAGGGTTGTTTTTGTTTGGGTTTTGTTGCAGACGGGTCAGTGAACAGCAAAGGGAGTTGGGTTTCTGTGGCTGGGCCGTGCATGAGTAAGGCTGGCAGGGCGGGGAAGGCAGTGCCACTGGTGGTGCCACTCGCTGTGTCTCTGGTGGTGCCATTCCCTGTTCCACTGGCAGTGCCATTCCCCGTTTCCCCATTCCCCGTTCCCCTGGCTGTTTCATTCCCCGTTCCCCGCTCCATCCCCGTCCCATCCCGGTGCGGCGGTGCGGGCCGAGCGCTGGCCCGGCTGCCGCGGGCTCGGGGTCGCTCCCCCGGGCTCGGGGCTTTGTGCGGCCGGGCTCGGGGTTCATTAGCATGCGGTCCGGGCTCGGGGCTCTGCTGGCTCACCAGCTGTTCCTGCTGCTCCCGACAATGTCCGGCGGTTCGGGCCGGCCGCGCTCCGCCAGCCTTTCCGCTGGGGATGCCCACGTGGCACCGCAGCGCCGGCCGGCCCCGCATGGCATATGGTGTCTGGATTCATACAAGATGCAAAACTATTCTGCCGCTAATGCACAATGACTCATAGCATTGCTAATTTTTCCAACAAAAGCACGCTTCCACACCCACACTTTTAACCCCTCAGGCTAAAAAGCCTCTTCTTTAGTTTCAAAGCCATGGAAATGTAAGGAGGTGGGTTCTGGATCAATATCTGAAACCCTATATTTATTTAAAGCATATGCACGCTTATTTTAAATTTCAGCGAAAGCCGGTTTGCAAATCGCCGCTCCGTCGTGCGGCAGGATTTTGTGTTCCAAAGTGGATTCGTTGTCAAATGCTGGGATTTAAAAATTTTGCGGTAGTTAACGTATTAAAAAAATAATCGGAAGTTGCCTCCGTAGAAAATAAAGAGTTATTTTCATTTAAGAGGAAATAAATCCAGGTATTGCAGCCAGTGGATCCACGAGGATTATGTATTCCGGCACGGGTTCCCAAGCCGCTTGGTGTAAGCAGCTTGTAATATTTGGGGATCTTTGCTATTTACTGGCTCTTCAGGGACAATAATAATGCACTTTCCAACTAGAGGGAGCTGCTGGTATCCCTGACGCTGATTCTTAACCTTCCCAGTCTAATTCCTTTGTGCGGCCGTTCCGACGCTTTAATAAAATCGAGTTAAATTACCCCGAGCCATTTAGATTAAAAGGATGCATCTCGGTTCTCGCAGCGTAATCATCAAATGAAACTGCAGAATTCGGGGGGAACTGAAGCAGATCCCGGTTGCTTTCTGTGGAGTTCTATAGGTGCTGAAAAGGCTGGCTAGGAGGGAGCGAGGAGCGGGGGCTCGGAGACAAAAAGCGGGTGGGAGGCAGGAGCGGGCCAGCAGCGGGAAGCTCCGGCTCCCTCCGCGCAACAAAGGAACAAAGGGACCTGTGGCCGGCTCCGTGGTGGCCCAGCTCGGGCTCCCCGGGAGCCACTTGTGATGGGGACCCCGGGCAGCGCTGCAGCAGCTGAAGGCTCCTGCCAACGGGGATTTTGGGGGAATGTTTCCCAGGGATGGTCGAGGGCTCCTGGGGGCTCCCCGCAGCCTGCGGTGGGTCTGGTGGGACGCCCCGTGTCCTCGCCAAGGCCCGGCTGCCAGCCCTGGAAGGGCGCTTTCCATCCAGCAGGGCTGTTCCCTCCTCCCAAAAACGGGGTGGGAAGGCACAAAAGCTGCAGGAGAGCAGATCCACCTGTGGGCACTTCCACAGGTTCTTCCCCAGCGCTCCAGGCACTGGTGCCAATGCACACATGCAATCACAAGTACAGGTTTAGGTCATTTTTCAAACTCCTCTTTCTCTCTCTTGAAGAGATCCTTACATCAGTGTGTGGTTTCCATGAACCATACATGCTGAAATTGCTTAATCAAAAGTTAAGGAATAAGTTTCTAAGCAGGAAAAAAGGGTTTTTACGCTTAGAGTTGGATTTTCTTTATGACTTTGTTTCTCTGTTATTGAAAATGAGTGGCTGAGTTGAGTGCTGGCCATGCTTTGAGGAGATGAGACAGATCTGACTCCACTTCAGCCTGACCAGCTCTGTGCAGCTGGCACCAAAAGGAGGGAGACACAGAAAATTTTGTGCCCCTTGTATAAAAGATACTTTGATGGGCAGCACCATAGTCTTACATGGTCCTTTAGAGAGGAAAGGCTTCCCCTCTACCTGCATTTGAAAAGCTTTGAAAGCCATCCTGTTACTGGGGACACGAACATGGTGACATCAAGTGAGAGGAATAGGAGAAAGCTGCTTTTTGTCACAGGTTTTCTGGCTGGCATATTGAATTTGTGGGGTTTTCTCCCTCAGCATTGTAATTCTGTGTGTTCTTCCCAGTGCTTTTAACTGTCAGGGTTCTGCTGTATGAACAGCAGCAGATGGCTTTTGATGATTTCTTAAATCTAATGTTTAGTAACAATCTAGTGCATGTACAGTATTTCCTGTTAGACAAAGTCTCGGGTAACTTTCTGTGTTTTAATACTTCCCTGAATTGGCCTGGGCCAGTTTTTGTGGAGAACTGTAACTTGTGCCGAGCAGCTGGGTTTGTGGCACCCCCTTAGGGTCATCCACCTGGCTGATTGTCACCCGTGAGACACTGTGGGTTATCTAACACCTTGCTGGCCTTGTGGCTTCCTGAAGCAAAACAGGCCTTCCCCTGCACACCTTGCAGCTGGCAGGGCTGAAGGGCTGCTCAGTTATCTCACTGACATCTCCTGTGTAACAAACCTGGGGCTAGCTCAGCATCTCTGCAAAGCCTCTACACCAAAGATGCGCCGTGGCAGCCAGGGACAGAGCTCCAGCTCCTGGCCCCTTTGCTTTCCTGGCTTTCTCGGGCTCTTTCTGAGCAGGTGCTGTCCCTGTGACTCTGACTGGCTTCTTGGTGTTGAAAGGGGGCTGGTGAGGGCAGTGCTTGCCAGCCTGGCACCCTTCAGGCAGTGTGCCACAGAGCACCTTGGAGAGCGAGCCCTGAAGCTGATGCTCACACACTCCCCAGCTCACACGTGAATGGGGCTCTGCACTTGGAATTTCTGTGTCCAGCCCACCACTGCAGTCCTCTCCCCACTGCCAGCCTCCCTCAAAGCTGGGAGATTTGAGGCTCTGAAAAGGCAGCTCCGGTGGTAGGAATGGAAGGTTTTTCTGTCCTTGGCTGTTGAATACCAGTCTGTGTTATGGGAAGGTTTTGAATTGCAGGAATAGCAGTTGCAGCCACACATGGCAGGCTGAGCAATGCCCTGCAGCCTTGGAGGGCTGGAGCAGCCCCAGGGCTGCCAGGGGGACAGCACAGCCCTCACCATCAACTCCTGAGCCTGGCAGGAGGGAGGCACTGCTCCAGCCCGGGAGAACTGCTTGGATTCAGAAACCTTTCCTTTCTAGGCCTTTGCAGAACCTGTTGGGTTTTGTGCTCCCGTGTTTTATGACTTGTTGCCATGATAATTCAGCTCATCTTACAGGTTTCTCTAATTGTGATTGATGCGTAATCATTCATTTTATTGAACCTCATTAAGGTCTGTGAACCTCTGTCCCAACTTACAGTAATTAGAGCCCAGATAGCCATTCCATCTGTTCCCAAGCACTGGTTAATTAATGAACTTTTAACGTGTTCTTTGCCTTGTAAAAGCCCTCAGTATTCTCAAGTTGCTGAATAGGATTTGCATGCCAGCATTTCCGTTTGTTTTAAATGCCACAGCAACGTGCAGTTTGGAATCCCAAAAGTCAACACACAAAGTCCTGGGATCTCAGAAAGCAAAGTGGGGAGATTTTACTTTCTGTTCCCACTTTGTGCATCAATTACAGTATCTGTGAAACTGGGGTTTGCAAACAAACGCCTCACAGGGTCTCCAGCGTTCTTTACTGCCCAAACCGACGGCTTTGGATCTTCCCTTGTATTGCTAAAGAAAACACACGGAGACCAGTGAACCAAATGTTTCACTTTTCATGCTAGTACTTACTGGGAGAAGATTAGAAACACGATACCTGCAGACACACGTTTTCCTGCCCTCATATTTCATCCTTTTGTTACATTTTGAGCGTCAGGCCTGAGACAGCTCTGTTAGTTTTATGTAGCATTCACTGCAAGGAGATTTTTGGGATGGAGCAGACTCCACCACTGCTGCTGGAGTTGTCAGGGAGATTGTTGTGGTCCAGGACTGGGAGAAATCAGCAGGAGCCAAGCTCTTGAGTGTTGAGACTTTCTGTGCTTCACCTTTGTGCATTCTGACTGTGCAGTAACATGCTGAGTCAGTGATGTGTGCAGGCAATAAATCACTGCATTTTTAAAAAATGCATTCACTTTCTGTTTGCCGAGCAGACGGGAGAGGCAGCGTTTCCAGTGGCAGGAGTTTAAAGGAAACCTTGGGGATTTTTGCATTGTTACGTTCGTGATCTGCCGCTGGTTTTTGCGCACAGCGTGGTGGTGTGGGGCTGTAGCTGTGCTCTGCCCCGTTTGGATTGATCTGTGTTTACCTCCAATGTTCAGGACAAGAATTAAGTCATACTACTCAACTCCCTGAAAATCCCTTTCAGCATCCAAAGGCCGACCATCTGTCCGGTCCAGCCATTCTTTCCTCCCCCAGTATGTGTTTTAGCCGGGGCTTTGAGCAAGGCTGTATCCTGGAGAAGCAAAATATGAAGGGAAATAAAGGTCTTGGGCCTGGGGCCATGTTTAGCAACGCAAACCCTGTAAATTGCAGATGGTTTTTGTGAAACGAGCGCAGAGAGCCCCTGGCTCTGTGGTATTTCAGTGTGCTGGTCTGTGGCACTGTGGGTGTCCAAGGCACAGACAGCCTTCTCTGCGGAGAGGTTTCCAAAAGAGCCACTTTCAATTCCTTTTCCAATATTTATGTGTGCCAGTTCATCATCTCACCCCTGAGCCCACATTTCAAACAGCCCACTTGGCAAATCCACGTGTGCTCCCCTGCTTCTTTTTGGGACTGAAGCGTTTTAAGTTACTGGCAGATCTGCAAGAAAAATTGATTTTTTTTCTCGAGCATTTTGGGAAGTGCAGCTGTTTTGTCTGGAAGCGTGCTGGTTTGTGTGCAGTGTCAGGTGTGTGGGGCTCAGCATGGTGCTGCCTCTTCTCCACTGCTGATGTTCTGCAAGCCCAAGGCTGGGATCTTGTTGATGTTCTTCCAAGGTGTTGTTCCACCAGCTGAGACTGACTTAGGAACAAATCCATTCAGCATTT